ATCAAAGAGGGATAGAAAATCAGGTCAGAATTTCCCGAGGGTGATGACACATAATCATTGTGACTCCACCCATCTTAGATCCACTCTTCAATTACTACTGTTGATAACACGATATTTACTTCCTCTGACTTTCTCACCCATTAAATGATGATTTACAGCCATCTAGTGGATGTAAATCAATAATACAGAAAAAAGTGAGACATGATATTGAAGACAAAAAGAAAGTATCAGGCTATATAACTAATTACAATATGCTTTATGCTGTATTATCTCAACCTATAGTAATTGTAGAACTGTGGCACTGTAATAATTTTTATGCCTGACTATACAATAATTTATTTATGGGACGGTGAGAAGGTTCTGGGTTCGAACCTGGAGCCTGGGGCCCTTCTGCGTGGAGCCTGCATGTTCAGTGCCTCTGTGCGCTCATTCTGAGCACTCCGCCTTCCTCTCGCAGTTCAAAGACATGCACATTTGGTTTAATGGTGACTCTAATGCCTTACTATACTGTGACATTTTTATGCCTTATATTATGAAGTTTTTCTGCCATTCTTGTTCTTGGTTTGAATCCAATTCTTGGACCCTTTCTGTGTGGACTTTGCATGTTCTCCCTCTCTTTTGACATTTTTATGCCTTACTATAATATGATGTTTTTTGACATTTTTATGTCTTACTATACTATGATGTTTTTATGACTTTCTATGACTTTTTATGCCTTGCTGTACCACAATGTCTTTATGCCTTACTATACTCTGATGCTTTTATGTGTTAGAATGCAACAAAACTTTTGTCATGTCTCAGGGTAGTGCAGTGGTTAGAGCTGTTTGCTGGCAGTCAGAAGGTTCTGGATCTTTGGAGTTTGCATGTTCTCCCTCTTCTTTGACGTTTTTATGCCTTACTATAATGTGACGTTTTTGACATTTTTACAATGACATTTGTTGACATTATTAGGCATTGCTATACTACGATGTTTTTTGACATTTTGATGCCTTACTATACTATGATGTTTTTTATTTTTATTTTTAGGCCTTACTAGACTTTGACATTTTTTGACATTTATATGCCTTAATATACTACGATGTTTTTTGACATTTTTTTGTCTTACTATACTATGATGTTTTTATGACTTTCTATGAGTTTTTATGCCTTACTGTACCACAACCTCTTTCAAGGTAGTGCAGTGATTAAAGCTGTTGTTTCAAATCCTGGTCTTGCATCCTCTCTGTTTGGAGTTTGCATGTTATCCCTCTTTTTTTGACATTTTTATGCCTTACTATACTATGATGTTTTCTCGAAATTTTTATGTCTTACTATGCTATGATGTTTTATGACTTTCTATGAGTTTTTATACCTTACTGCACCACAACCTATTAATGCCTTACTTTACTTTGATGCTTTTATGTGTTAGAATATAACATAACAGTTTGTCATGTCTCAAGGTAGTGCAGTGGTGAGAGCTGGTTCCTGGCAGTCAGAAGGCTCTGGGTTTGAATCCTGGTCTTGCATTCTCTCTGTTTGGAGTTTGCATGTTATCCCTCTTTTTGACATTTTTATGCCTTACTATACATAGACGTTTTATGCCTTAATATTATATGACTTTTTTTTCTGACTTTTTCTGACGTTATTATGTCTTACTATGATATGATGATTTTATACTTTATCAAAAAACTAAGTTTGTGGGCTTCCAAACTAGTGCAGTGGTTAGAGTTGTATCCTTATAGTCAAAAGGTTCTAGGTTCAAATCCAGTTCTTGGATCCTTTCTGATTGGAGTTTGCATGTTCTCTCTCTTTTTTGACGTTTTCATGTCTTACTATACAATGACTTTTTTGACATTTTTTTGTCTTACTATCCTATGATGTTTTTTATGACTTTCTATGAGTTTTTATGCCTTACTATACTTTGATGCTTTAATGTGTTAGAATACAACTAACAGTTTGTCATGTCTCAAGTTAGTGCAGTGGTTAGCGCTGGTTCCTGGCAGTCAGAAGTTTCAGGGTTCCAAGCCTGGTCTTGCATCCTCTCTGTTTCGGGTTTGCATATTCTCCCTCGTTTTTATGTATTACTATACTATGATGTTTTTTGACATTTTTAGGCCTTACTAGACTTTGACATTTTTTGACGTTTTTATGCTTTACTATACTATGACGTTTTTTAAAAAAAAATTTTGTCTTACTATACTAGGATGTTTTTATGATTTTTATGACTTTTTTGCCTTACTGTACCACAACAACTTTATGCCTTACCATACTTTGATGCTTTTATGTCTTAGAATACAACAAACAGATTTTCATGTCTCAAGGTAGTGCAGGGGTTAGCGTTGTATCCTTGTAGTCAGAATATTCTGGGTTCAAATCAAGTTCTTGGATCCTTTTTGTTTGGAGTTTGCATGTTCTCCCTCTTTTTTGACATTTTTATGCCTTACTATACTATGATGTTTGTTGACACTTTTAGGCCTTACTAGACTATGACGTTTTTTGACATTTCCATGTCTTACTATACTATGATGTTTTTATGACTTTCTATGAGTTTTTATGCCTTACTGTACCACAACGTCTTTATGTCTTACTATACTTTGATGCTTTTATGTGTTATAATACAACAAAAAGTTTGTCATGTATATAATGTTATATAATATAATGTTACGTTTTATGCCTTCATATAACATGATGTTTTTTGACATTTTTAGGCCTTACTAGACTTTGACGATTTTAGACGTTTTTATGCCTTGCTATACTATGACTTATTTTGTCATTTTTATGCCTTACTTTACTATGAGGTTTTTTGACGTTGTTATGCCTTACTATACTATAACGTTTAATGCCTTAATATAATGTTAAGTTTTATGCCTCACTATACTGTGACGTTTTTGACATTTTTAGGTTTTGCTATACTATGAGGTTCAAATTTTTACATCTCACTATACTATGACTTTCTTTGTTGTTTTCATGCCTTACTATAGTATGGCTTGTTGTTGTCTTGTTTTATGCCTTAATATAACATGACGTTTTTTGATGTTTCTATGCCTTACTGTACTATGACGTGATTATGCCTTACTATACTATTACTTCTCATGCCTTACTATACTATGACTTTTTATGCCTTACTTACTTACATTCTTTGACATTTTGATGCCTTATTATACTCTGACGTTTTTTGAAGTTTTTATGCCTTATGATGTTTTTTTTACGTATTTATGCCTCAATATATTATGTCATGTTTTGACATTTTCATTTCTTACTATACTTTGATGTTTTTATGACTTTCTATGACTTTTTATGGCTTACTGTACCCAAACGTTTTCATGCCTTACTTTACTATGACTTTTTTTTATGACTTTCTATGGCTTTTTATGGCTTACTGTACCACAACATCTTTATGCCTTATTATAATTTGATACTTTTATGTGTTACAAAACGATGTATTCTTCATGAGCTAGCAAGGTAGTGCAGTGGTTAGAACTTTTGCTTTGCAGTCACCAGGTTTTGGGTTTGAATCCATGTCTTTGGGCCTTTCTTTTTGGACTTTGCATGTTCTCCCCATGACGATTTTAAGCCTTACTAAACTTTGAGGTTTTTTGAGGTATTTATGCCTTACTATACTATGACATGTTTTTGACATTTTTATGCCTTACTATACTATAACATTTTATGCCTTAGTGTATTATGATGTTTTTATGCCTTACTGTACTATGGCTTTTTTATGCCTTACCATACTATGACTTTTTAAGGCTTATCATAATATGACTTTTTATGCCATACTATAGTATGTCACGTTTATGCCTCACTATTCTGTAACTTATAACATATATATGATATATATGTCCCTATATCAAGATTGATGTTACCATATATGTCACCTTTAAGAGGTTATATTATTATGACATACAGTATATACATCCTCTGGATAAATGAAGATATACAGTACGTTTATAACATATATGAAATACTCATAGTAAAATGCAATTTTATTGAAACAACATGCTTATTAAAATTCTATATGTTTGTATATGATTGTATATTCTTAATAATTTCTTATTAAATTTAAACATACATGTCTATCTTTCATATTTACATATATAATATGAACATATACTGACAGGCTTTGGTTGATATATATTTATGCCACACGTGTATAAAAATAGAAATACAAAAATTCATTTTTCTATTAGCTAAACATGTATGTCAATATATGATATTGTTTCAATTTCTAACAGGTTTCATATGTAATTTTTACATAAATAGGCTATACTTTAAAAACATGATTTTACGTCACATGTACATATATTATATCGAAATTCAACACAAATCTCCCGCCCTTGTTTATGTACAATAAACAACAGCAGTCAGTGTCTTTACAGTCTCATCATGCTGAAGCTGTGCCTTTGTCTTTACACCAGGTGGCAGGAAACCTCTGTTCTAAAACACAGGGTGAGCGAGGCATTAACAACTACTAGGAGTTGATCACTGAGAAATCAAACGGCCTGTGCAGCTAATTGATTGAGTCAAGACACGTGAATTCGATTAACTTTCATAAACGTACAGAATTCCTGAGATTTCTTTCCAGTTCATATCATGTGTTCAGGTTGTCTTTGGTCTATCTGTCTAGTGTATTGGCAGACAGCCAAACACCAGGAGTCAATATTGTGGAAAAATCAATTTGCCAGGCAGTCTTGCATGCATAAGGGCATAGATGGAACAATAAATATAATTTTATTAAAAAATGAAAATTATAAAAAAAATGATAATAGTGTCGAACTCGGTCACACGTGGGGAATTTTAATTCTTTCATTAAAAGTCGATATTAAGAAGATTCGATTTTTTTTTATTTTTGCAGATGTTTCTTTACTGTTGGGTTTGTGAAAACGAAAACAAAAATCCCTAAATTTGTGTTATTAGTCTGGAGAGGGGCTGAAGATGTGTATGTGGGACGTGTCCTCACATGGGTGGGACAGTTGAATGGGACAGGAAACATCTCAGTGAAGAGGACCACTCACTGAACAGCTGTCAGGTGGATCCAACACGTTTTGAGCTACCGCCTGATCGTCAGGCTACACGTTGATTTTTGTTGGATTTTTACCGGGGAGGTTTTCAGATCTGCAGCTGCGTCAAGTCAAACCGCATTACACCGGAAATAATACGATTTTTCGACCAAAGTTGTGATTTCACAGTTACTCGACCGAGTTTTAATTAAGAAAGAACTTTATTTTGAAAGTTGGAACCAGTTCTGTGTGACATAAACGTGAACGCTGGTCGGCTGGGAGCATATTGTGGGCTAAAACACGCTCCCACTTAGGAGAAGTTTGTTGTGATTTAACTGAGTTGTTTGAGGTCCCTCCTATTTCCAATTAACTCCCACCTTTCTTTGTCTCAGCACTTTTTTTAATGACAAACGTGAAACGTTACCTCATCTAGCTTGTCGGTTGGCTGGTTGACCGGGGGCTGCTGCTGTCAAACCTTCGTTGACATGGATTTGTTGCACCGACGAAGGACGGATTGAAAAGTTTGGGAATTTCCATCATTCACCAGCTACAGCAGCGACAAACGGACTAACTGCAACTACTTTTTTGAAAAACAAGTTGTAAGTAGCTTATTTAGCTAAAGACATGCAAAAGTTCAACTCCACCGGTACCCACGGCAACACGCTGCCCCGGGACGCGGAGCTCCAGCTCCGGTTAGCTGACAGCGGAGGGACCGGGGAAGGGAGGGAGAACGGTGCTGGGAAGCATTTCCTCACCCAAACTGAGGAGGAGAGCTCGTTTTGCACCAAGAGAAAGATGCTTGTCGGCTTGGATGTAATATGTCTTTTTGTCGGTAAGAATAGTTGTATATACTTAATTTACATGAATGGTTTTGACCCCAGGCAAACACTTCAGTGTTATTAAAAAGTGACCATAATTCCTATTTGAATGTACCGTATACCACTATCACTGGTTGTTTCAAAGGTTTGTACAGATATTTTTTCAAGTGCCCACATACTCGCAGCTGTGTAAATCATATTGACTTTCTCAGGGGTTATGAGGAGGTGAAACGACGCTGGTTTTCGTCAGGGAAAATCACATTGGATGGGAATTTGTTAAAGTTAACGAAGCTGCAAAGCATTTTTCCAGGAGTCAAATGGAAACTGTTCAAAGGAGCAGAAAACTTTCAGCTCGGTCCCCGTGGTGCACGTGGGGGCAGAAGGCGGGGGGGGGGGGGGTGCAGAGTTGTCCCAGGAATTAATATGTTCCCATGGTAACCCTCAAAGTTCCCGGGAGAAGAACGTGGGAATTCTGATAAAAACATGCCCGGTGCTTGTGTTCTCGTGCCGAAAATTACCTCTGTTCTACAAGTGCTTCAGTCTCTCTCTCACTGCAGGATTACTGAATGTCAGACACAAACAACTTACAGCACTCAGCTGGAAAATTAACCAACAGTTTTCACAGGGAGAATTAGAAACATCAGTAACAACATGTGGACAACAACTCAGGGGAAAGTGACATAACCATGATGTAGTGGTCAAAATGAATGACTCTACAAATACATACTTTGGATTTAATAAGATAATTGTGACAAATGATTTCTTTTAATCAGGAAGTAGAACATCAGTCATTGTGTTTTTACATTTTATTGTACAAAATCATATTGATTAGTTTGTGTACCAGCCCTCACAAAACTTCAAGGTTTTCAATTTATAATGGAGAAAAATAATCTTGCAATTTTTTTGTTTTTTTACTTGATAAATAGTAAACTGTTTATAGATAATAATGACTGTTAAATGAGTCATAATTACCACTTTCTGTAAGGGCATATGAAGATAATTTTTTCTTATCGGTTAATCTGCTGAAAATCTTCTAAATCAACTGATTAATCATTCTCTAAAACATCAAAAACACAGATATAAATGCCCATGGCAATATCCTACAGCACCAGTTGACGTCATTTAACATCGTGTCTGTCAGTCCAAAACCTAAAAATATTCTTTTACAGTAAAGTAAGACCAAGAACAGCAGTGACTCTACCACTTGAGAAGCAGGAACCATTAAATGTCATTTTGCCTCAAAAAATTTACTTATAAAGGATTAAATGATTATCAAAGCAGCTGGAGATGAACTTTTTTTTCATTCAACTAATTGAATAAACTACGCATCCTTGGAGCTCTACTATCGATAGCCTATAGTATAAGAGTCCAAATTAAAAAAAAAGAAAAAAAGTTAGTCACCAAATTCCAAACTGTTAAAATATTCCATTTAAAATAATGGATTGATGTTTATATTAAATAAGTATTCAATTAACATGTTATCAGGTATTCAAAAATTATTACTATAAGTCACAGGAATTCCTTTCACAGTATCAAATAATTGATACGCCAACATAAAGGCAGTGTTGAGATGCTTGGTATAAGTGATTCATATGTCTAGGTAGTGTAAACTATATACTCTATAAATAGCTATAAATCTGGTGTTTACAGCTAGAAATATAGGGGAGGAAAAAGAACAATATTTCCAACTGAAATGTTGTTCATTGAAGGTTCAAAAACATAGGAATACCCCTGTGAAGTGCCAGGAGGGCTGGGTGATAAAATAATACCAATAATTATTGCAAGTTTCTTCAATAGAAATATAACAAATGGTTGATGAATGTTCGATATATTTGATTTCCATGCTAGCATGCAAAGAAATTAATCATGAACTGCCAATCATGTTGTGAAGTGAGATACTTGTACATAATATAATTCTATAAGTTTCATGTTGTCATATCACATGACTATGACTATGGTAGGGAGGGGAGCATCTGTGTTGTGTGAGTGAATAGTTATTTGGACCAGCAGCATGAGAGAGGCGGAACTCGTCTAGGCAGACCGACAGGTCTCAGCCTTGTTGGCAGTTAAAGCATAGGAAGTAGTCCGGCAAACAAAACAACAGTGTGAGGCAGTTAGTTTCATTACAGTATTATTCTTCACCCCTGCAGGTATGCTATTAACTGTTCACTCTGCATACTCCTCAGTAGCTTTGTTCTGTGTGTAGGAAGTGGCGAGCAACCCAGCATCAGTCAGCACGATGGAGGAAATGGTCCCTTTCAGTTCTCGTCCTAAGACACGCACTGAGCGCGCCACTTGTTTTCTCACTAAATTGTGTGCCCTGACCCCTCCTCTTAACACTGAGATTGAATCATTTAGCCTCAAGGTGGACACAACTGAGAGGATTTACAGAGTAAGCTGGTATTGTGACTGAAATATACTTTAGTAAATTTGAAGGATGTCCCCTTCTTGCTAGCAATGTAACAATCACAGAGGTCCTAGTTTGAATTGATCGACACTGTGAGTACAGTAAAATACCTTGTTTTGTGTTTCCAGAATAAGGGTTGAATGTTTTAGAGATTTCCTGACCTAATTAGTCTTGTTTCTCTCCAGCAAAAATAAGACAAAACACAAATGTTGCTTTGCATTTTTATCAAACACAAAAGAGTTGTTTTCTGAGGTCAATAACCTCAACATTACCTAATAAACAATATGTAGTGAATTGTTCAAATAGTTAAACAATAGTAAAATCAGAGCATAATATTGGATAATACAGTACAATATGATGTATTGTTACACTGGTACAGTGTATTAGCTATTAAGTTACTTACAGATTCCTGCCTGTCTGACTGCATCTTGCATATCTCTGATAACCATCATGGCAGTTATCAGCAGAGGCCTGACCTCGACTCATCTGTGGGCATTTGGCACTGAATGTCATCACTTATTGGAAATGAATTGAACCCTTCTTTTAGCTAAACCCTCTTATCTCTGACTAACCAAATTTTCCTTAAAAAATGCCATCATCAGATTCACTCAGACGGCTGACCCGCCGGCATTATTCATTCCGTAAAGGGGCTCATTCACCACTGTAACTGTGGAATTTTACCCTGAAGCATCCATGCTCATTATGCTATCAGCTGAAGAGGGATTCCACAGTGTTCTGAGGTTTTCACAGCCTCTCCATGTGTGTGTTATCTTTGGATTTTAAGTGGTGACATAAAGGTAGTATTGTGTGGCATTATGAATGAGCTTAAATCTGTCTGTTGATTGCTAGGATATTGAGGTCATTAAGTGAGGCTTTGACTCAGGTTACCTGATCATACTCGTAGTCAGCACCGGGCTTGTCTAACATTGTCGTATTTTAGTAATAAGGCTGCGTTGTTTATGGGGCTGTTCTGACATGCACACGATGGATGCTTCACAGAGATTGATTGTTCTGGTTGAGCTCAGTGTCAGTAAGCTCCATGGAAGCTGCAGAATGCAAATGCCTGAATCTGTTCAAGTGTTTGCTTGTGTGTTAAAGTGTATGCAAGGGACTGTAGGGGTTTGACCAGGACAGAGCTGACAGAATCTGTGCCCTGTGGCTGCATCTAAGATCTAGTGTCCAGCCAACCAGAGGTCAGGAGGTGTCGGGTGTTTGTCATATCTACCAAGCATGCAGGGACAGGCCTCCCAGACTGCACTTCTGTTTCCCTCCTGCACAGGTGGTCTGTACTCTGTCATCACCCCAATAAAGCCAGTTATTGCCTCTCTTAAGAGTAATTGGGAAATGATTGGAAGTGGCACCCATTATTAGCTTATACAGCTTAGAGAAACATGACAATTGCCACTAGACTTGACCTTCTTATAGGGGTTAATTGAAAGATTTCAGTTTCATACTGGATATACATAAGTTCTTAGGCTCGGTTAAATTAATACAATAGAGAAAAATGATTCACACTGTTGATAAATTCCATACATTTATCTATTTAAAACAAGAAAGTGATAGATTCAATAGTAAAAACAGAACTAGTTTTTGGATACTTTACAAAGAGAAAACTGGAATCCGTTGATCACTGTTGTGTGCGAGTGTGTTTTTTGTTCTAGACGTGAAGCAGCATGCCAGGACGAGAGGTTAGGTTAGGAGAGGATAGGTATCTACCTGAGTGATCTGAATTCTAAAAGGGCTTAGTCTTTCCAGCTTATCTCTCCCTTTGCCCCCTTCTCTTTTTCTCCTCTTTTCTTTAGACAATCTCTATTTTGGGACTGAAGGTGTTCCAGCAGCATAGCGAGGTGTGTGAGTGTGTGTGTTTTATGTCTGTGTGTGTGTGTGTGTGTGTGTGTGTGTTTTGGGCGGGTGGCGGGTTTATGTTAGTAAGATTCCTGGTTCTGTTCTTTTGGCAGAGAAAGCTGCCAAGTGAGTGAGACAGCAAGAGGCCGACACGTCACAGCATGTTGGTGTGTACAGGGCCAGGAATATTAAATTATGCATGTGTATTTATGTGTGTGTGCGTGCTTATGTGTGGGTGTGGGTGTTTGTGTGCGTATGCGTCATCGCGACTGCTAACGCGGACACCCTACTACAGCTGCCATGTGCGTGCTGTTTGTTGACATATTCGCCGGTGCTGTTTTGCTGTGCATTTTAGGCCATGATCAAACACACACAAAGTTATGAGACACATTGGCGTCACTCTGAGGCTGACAGATGGAGAGCCATTAAAAATGGCTCAGTCAAATCATTAGCTAGTGGAAGAAGTGATCTTGCTTACTCTCTGTCGTTAGTGCACTAATGCATCTCCCTCCCATTTGAAAGCACTGCAAAAGTTCAGGAATTCATTAGCTGCGCCCTTCATTAGACCAACTATATGGCTGCATTCACTGTACTTTGCTGTCAATATGTCTTCCTTCACCCATTAGCACACCAGAGCCAGCTCAGGCCTGAGAGACGTCTCAGTTGCCTGAAGGCTGAGGGGCAAGTGAGAGCCTGAGTTGGCAAGCACCCAAGGGGAGGGAGAGTAGAGTGAGGCGTGGAAAGAGAGAAGGGGCTGAGGGT